TATATATATATATATATATATGTGTATATATATCTATATATACATACATACATATATGTATATATATGCATATATGTACATATTGTATATTCATGTATACATTTATGTATTTATGTATAAATATATAATAATTACTGTTATTCTTATTATTTTTGTTATTATTATTATTATTATTATTATTATTGTTATTACTGCTACTATTATAATTATCATTATTGTTATTATCATCATCTTTATTAGCATTATTACTAACATTCCCATCCTTATCATTGTTGTTATTATTATTATCATCACCATTATTATTAGCAGTTGTAGTATAATTATCAATATCGTTGATATTATAATTGTCCTGATACTCACTATTATCATCATTATCATCATTATTTTTTCTATTAATATTATCATCATTGATATCATTATCATATCGCATTTTTCATATATAAATTATAATATATCCTACTAAATCACTGCTGCCAATTTGCCAAGATCAATTCTACTACAAATGCTGATAATATCTTGGGCCAGCTGACACCACCCAGGGATATGAATATGAATGGAACCCCGGGACCACCCAATTTTGACTTACCTAATTGTAATTTGAGTAGCATGACTTAGCGGTTATAGGCTCGTGGGAAGGATGGAATTTATTCCTCTACTGGGGGGTGCCAAAGATACAACGGTCTTAAATTCTATTTTAATCTATTTTTTTTTTTATATTCTATAATCTAATAATAATATATAGGTGGAATATTACAATGGGTTTAATATTAGAAATAATAGATATCAGAAAACATCCTAAATCACTTTAAGTTTATGTTAACTTTAACTTTCTACCCTCCTATCAATTAGAAATCAATGATATCATAAAGATAAGTATAATAAAAGTAAAAGTGAGACAGGATCGAAACAGTCACTCCCACTTTGGTCTACTGTTCCCTTCACAATTCATTACTTAGCGCAATCGGAATTGCCACCTTTGACAAGCTCTGTTGCTGTATCCACAAGCCCAAAAAAAAAAAAAATGCAAAAATGGCTAACGTAAACGTGACGTGTTAGCTCGCCTCATTTTCTTCAACCTTTCTCTCTCTCTATGTGCAAGACACAGAACTTGGACCAATCTCACTAAGGTTCTGGTTGTTAGAACTACCTAATTCCACTTTTGGACCAATTAAGTCAAGCTAGATTTAGTTGGAATTGGGAAAGCTGAGAGACCCGAAGCAGAAGTTAAGACACTTCTAAGTACCAAGGATCAGATGCAATATATACAGATGGTTCGAAATCGAAAAAATGGTGTGATCTTTGCAGGAGTGCACAGAAGGAAGACTGCATTTGGCAGTCTTTCTCTATCAGCCTCAATCTTCACTGCAGAGTTACCTTGCAGCAATCAAGATGACTAGAGGTCTTACGAACCATTCTGTTGTAATATATTGTGATTCTCATAGTGCGCTGCAAGCAATCAAGAACTTAAACTCATCTCATCTAGTGATGAGGGAGGTTCAAGATTGGCTTGCACTGATGTCATCACGTAAAAAGATAACTGCCAGCGCATGCTGGTATCAGTAGGAATGACCGAGCTGATCGGAACGCCATGGCAGCTACCGCTCAGCCCTGTGATGCTCGTTTTCCTCTCACACACACTGACTTAAAACCCAGCATCAGGAGTTGTCTTTGTGATAAATGGAGGGAACAATGGAGGCATACCTCTAGAAACAAACTGTGAGAGATTAGAGATAACCTTGGCAGTTGGGTGACCAGCATCCATCCCAACCGACAAATAGAAGTTGTATTAACAAGGCTGAGAATCGGGCACACAAGAATGACTCACGGGCCGAAGATGGCTAAAAGTGAAGCACGCTGTGAAGGATACCAAGAGCCAGTAACGGTCGCACATGTAGTGGAAACATTCTCAGACCAAAGACATATGTACTTGTCTCCCCTATGTACACTGAAAAATGTATTAGGGAGAATTGTAACATAGAAGGTCTTATTAGCTTCCTTAGGGAGACAAATATTTTCAATAATATTTAATCATGCATAGTGCTTATACAATAATTTTATACATTTAGAGCATAATATCCATGCTTTGATTTTAATATATTTATTGTTATTTATGATATTAGCACATTGCGCCAAGAGCCATTAACGATTGCACATGTAGTGGAAAATGTGCAGCATTCTTGAACCAAAGGTGTATGGACTTGTCTTCCACTTATACATTGAAAAATGTCTTGATGGAGAACTGTGACATAGAGAATTTTATTAGTTTCCTAAGAGAGACTGATATTTTAAACAAAATTTAATTACATATATTTATGCAGTAATCCTATAACTCGAGCATATTTGTCATATTAATCAGTATATATTTTTCCTTTTCCTTTCCGTTATTTATTTATACATATATTTCATTTATTATTTCAAATATTTCAACATTTTAGTTCCAGAAGGCATTTGGCGCTAATGACCTTAGCTGTTGCCATGGTAAATAATCTTAAATCATTAA